CTCCAGGCTAGTGGGGTAGACAGCCAAGCGAACAGAGGAGTCAAAAGATGACACACAGGAAGCTAAATGGAGTAAGGTGCTGAGGCTGAAGAGGGCTGCGTTAGAGGGAGAGGTGTGCGCTGGGGTGGGACGGCCTTCCTCCCCCAGGTGGAGATTACAGCAGCGGATGCCAGCTGGCCTTTCTTTTTGGTGAGGAAGATTGTCGCTGAGCTGACATCTGTGCCAATCTTCCTCTATTTTATGTGGGACGCTGCCACAGCGTGGCTTGATGAGTGGTGCAGGTCCACGTCCAGGATCCAAACCCAGGAACCCTGGGCCAGAGAAGTGGAGCAGGCCGAACTTAACCACTGTGCCACCAGGCAGCCCCTGGCCTTACCTGACAGTAGGTAAGGGCTATTCTACAAGGAGGCCTCACTTTGCTCCTTTGTAGTGCTGGGAGGTGGAGAGGGTGCTTGTGTGTCAGGACCAACTCTGCTTTCAGAGGGGAAGAGGGTCGATTCTCCCCTCCATGCCAGGAATGGGAGGAGCCAAGACCCAGGGAGCAGCCCTGTGAGCTGGAAACTGCTCTGGGAGAGGACCTCAGGAGTTCAGCTCCCTGTCCCCAAAGAGCCCAGCAGTGGGCAGTGTCACTGACCACAGGGATATTTGCTTTCACTCCAGGAAACAGCTGGTCAGATGTGGGTAGGCTATGTGCGGTGGATCCTGCTGACTCTCCATCTGAGATACACCAACTGGCCTTTGTCATCACCTGAAACACTTCCTTCACTGCAAGCCCATCTTACCTGAATCCTGGGATGCTTGAAGGGCTGCAGGGAAGAACTGGCCAGGTGAAGAGGCCAGTCGCTTTGTCATGCCTTGTCCAGAGGTCCTGGAGCAGGTCTCTTCTCTAAGGTCCAAGCACTCCGCCCACACATTCCACTTCTCCGTCATTTCTAGGGAGTCTCTGTTCCCAGGGGCCACAGGGGGCCAAGAGCAGCTCTGTCCACCATAGGCACTGTGGGCCTGGAGCAGGTGGCAGCAATGGGCCACCACCTGAGGGCTTTCACCTGGAAGGAAAGGAGCTCGACTCTGAATCCAGGTCCTTAGTCCAGGGATACAGATTAAGAGCCACCCTTCTCTGCCTCAGCTTTCCTCCTGCTGTCACTTTGCAGAATCCCCCATCCTGCCTCCCCTAGGAGAGCTTCCTGAGCAAGATCCAGTATCCCTCAGCCCCACCTTGACTAGCAAACTGGAGGCCCTCCCTGGCAGCATGACACAACTGTCCTCTGTGCTGGGATAAGTGCCTTATGTGTTTAACTGTGTGCCCTCAATGTGCGTGCCTGTGTCCCTGCCCGGCTGGAGCCGTGGTAGACGTCATCCTCCCCCCATGAATCCTGGCTTGCTCCACACCTGGCTGTCGGCCCCCAGGACTTGGCCTACTTTCTTCCTGGCTCTGCGGGAGAGGGAAGGAAGCAGTCGCAGGCATGACTGCCATTGTTCCTCGGCTCCTCTCAATCTGCCCAAAAGTTTCCTCATAGAGCAGAGGTGGTGAGTGTTCTATATTTGTCAACCTGCCTTCACGAAACAGAAAAACAACATTTCACAATGAGTTGGACATTTAAGCTCCACTTTGCATGTCCCTGTTGAACACAGATCCCCAAATGAGAAACAAATCAAGAAACAGTTACATACAAAGTAATACTTGAAACTGTTTCTCTTGTAACACTTCCACACCCAAACATTTTCATATATCTATTTTATTTCTGAATAGGTTGATGTAGGTCTACTCACTCTTCCTCAGAAAAGACTAAATCTTTATTACACACGTTTATGGAATGTTAAAATGTCCTTTCTTTTAGAAGAAGACAGTGATAACAGTAGTTGTTTTTTAAATATCCTCACTTAGCAAAATAAATGCTAGCAACACCATATTTGTTCTATTATTATTATTATCTGAATCTAAGTGTTTAATTCAGTAACAGATTTGAACATCTACCCTACTTTTTTTTTTCTTTTTTCTTTTTTAGGAAGATTAGCCCTGAGCTGACATCTGCTGCAATCCTCCTCTTTTTGCTGAAGAAGACTGGCCCTGAGCTAACGTCCGTGCCCATCTTCCTCTAAGGCATGGCAGCCAAGAGATTTTAAGGCAAAAAGCAAGCCATAAACTATCTGTGGTTAATCGATCGTGGCCCCAAACACAAGCAAGGGCTGCATGCAATGACTTCTGGGGATCTCTTCCAGCCTGAAGGTTCCTGGAATGCACTTTAGTGTTGGCCTACTGGCAGGCTTTTTAGACTACAACTGTGATGTCTCCTGCTATTGAGAACCCTGGGAACAGCTCAGCTCCATGGTCCAGCCATATAAATCTGATAAAAATAGGAGCTGAAATACCATCCTGGAGTTGCTATTTTTAAAAGCGTCTGAGATGCTGGATTGGGTTTATTTCTTCCTCAAACGGCATCTTGCTGTTCCCTCCTCCTGGTGGGCAGGATGCTAACGTGGCACTTGTGAGGGACAGGAGCCAGAAGCCGGTGAGGCACATTTGTCAAGGGGCCCTGTGCCTCCTCCCCACAACCACTGCCTGCCAGGAGGAGCCGTGGGGCCGAGGCTTCCCAGCTGGAGAGGCACCTGCTCCTCCAAGCCTGCCCTTCGCTCCTGTCTTCTCGATCTGCTCCTGGGTGCCTCTGGTTGTCTCAGCAGAGAGGTGTCTTTCATTTCCTCCACAGCAGAGGCAGAGCCAGAGAGGTAAAGGAAGGTAGAGGGCACGAGAATGGGGGCAGCACGGCTCAGAAGGGGACCGGGACCCACACTGCTGCTCCTCAGCTTGTCTTCACCCAACCTTGGCACAGCTAGTCTACGGAAGGAACAGCTTCCAGGAGCCAAAGCCCTGCTTGCTCCCTCAAATTGCTTCTTGCCAAGCAACTCGCAGTGTCTTGCAGGCGGGCCAAAGGGGTGCGCTGGAGCTGGAAGGGGTTCAGATGGCCCTAGAACCCAGTACCTGGAATCGAAAAAGCACCAGAATTGCTTCCTTCCTGCACCACAGATGATATGGCTTCTGGGCAGTCAGCTAAGCATCTGGCTGTGCCATTAAGAAACTGGTGGGGAAAGATCATGAGTAAGCACATTGCGGCCTAAGGGGAGGAGTCAGAATTACAGTTAGCTTCTGGGAACCCGGTAACCAGGGGTGGGATAAGCTGGAGAGGGGGAAGGGAGGAGATCTGAATACAGCTTATAGGTCAGAGGATGGATTCCACCTTATCCAGCACGTGACACTTTCAGAGCAAATTCACAGCCATTGCCTAATTTAATACCAACAACACCCATTTAAACAAGCACAGTTATTTCCATTTTTTTTTTCCTAGTAAGAAAACTAAAGCCATTTGGTGACAGAGGCAGAGTTGGAAGTCATGTGTCCAGGAGCGAAAGTTGGCCCTTCAGTTACGTTTTCCGGCAGAGTGGAGTTCACATGGTGCATAGCAAGAATCGCAAACTGCATTTAGATTTAGCTCATCAAAGAGTCAGCGAAGTTGAGGAGCTGGGCTGATGGTCAGTTCAGCTCTGCCAAACTCACCTTGTCGCCTGGGACAGGTGCTTACTCTCTTGGGGCCAGTTTTCCCATCTGTAAAACGCGGAGAGTAGTCCCTCTTCCTCTTGACTTGCCCAGGGCAGGGACCTTAGTCATTCCTCTTTCTACCTAGCTTAGCTCCAGGCCCAGAGGTGAGATGCAATAAGTACCTACTGAATGAATGCTTGACTGACCAAGCCAAAGGCATCATTCAAACATAATTAATTTAGACACTGGTGAAATGCAGAAAGATGACCTCTGCCCATGCCAGGTACGATTTAGGATGGCACAGTCACCTGTGGAAGAACTCGGAGGCCGACTCTCTTCTCTGGTGCCGTCTCCACTTTGCTCACGCGCAGTAGAGCTTCTTAAGTTGTCTTGTATTCAACAGATCAGCCCTCCACTTTCAGCTGAAGGGAAGCTTGAGTTGGCCGTCTCTGAACCACCTTTCCACTTATTGTCACTTACTTACATCTTATACTTAGTCGCTTCCTGTCCTGCCTTATTGCTGGATGGGAGTCCACTGTGAGCCTTCTCTGCAGCTGAATGGTAAGCTCCTGGAGACAGGGACTGGGCATTGCACTTTCCTGGGAGCCCCTGGAGCCCCAACACAAGGCTGTTTACCTACGAAAGAGTGCCTCAGGGGAAACTTCTAGACTGTTCTCCTTCAGCCTGAGTAGTCCCAGGTTTGACTGGGCATGTCTGGGCCCAAGAAACTAGGGTCAGGGGCCTGATGGGGTTTCCCCTGGAGACAAGATGCCTGACGCCTTCAGTAAGGAACAGAAACTGAGAAGCTTTCTCAAGGTCAAGATAGGATGTGCAGAAGAGGGGTGCAGAGGGAGCAGTGTGGGGGCGGCAGGTGCCGACTAGGGCGGACTCCAGGGGACCTGGCACCTGTGCGTTGGTGGGTGGGCTCCCGGAACTAGGCCCTCCCTCTTCTGTGCCTCACTTTCTCAAGTGAGAGAAGGACACGGTTCACCGCGTGGGAGAGCAGAAAACCCTTTGTCGGGTCTCATTGTTCCAGGGAGACCGTGGGGAGGCTGCGCTGGGCATATCCATCGTGGTGCCGCTCACAGGAACTTCCCCCACACCCTGCCGTCCGGCTTTTACCGCCACCCATCCGGCCTCGGCCTGGGCCTCGGCCTCCTCCTCCTCCCCTCCGCGCCTGGCCCCTCGACCCTTCCGCGCCCCCCACACCCTCGCTCCCGGGCACCGCCACCTGCCCTCTCCCTCGGCCTCCGCGCCCCCACCATCCCCGGCTAGCGGGCCTGCTCCCGGCCGCGCGGCGCGCCGGATCGCCCACCCCACAGCGCAAAGCCCTTCCTCCTCCTCCTCCCCGCCCTTCCTCCTCCTGCCCGCCAGTCCCCGGAGTCGGCTCCCCGGCCGTGTGCGCAAGCGTGTCCGGCCCCGTCCCCGCCCCCGCGCGGACCCGCGCCCCCGCCTCCCGGCCCGCGGACTTGTCGGCTCCCAGGCCGGCCCCGCTCCTGGGACAGGGACTGGGCCGAGTGGAGCCGCCGCGCCGCCAGCCGTGCGCCTAGCGGATCGGAGCTGTGCGCCGAACTGTCCTGCCCCGCCCCGCTCCACCCGCGAGGGTGAGTACGCGGCGGCCGGTCCGTGGGGCCCGCGGGGGAGGGCGGGCAGCGCCTCGGGGGCGGCTGCCTGGCCCCCAGCCCGGCGCCGCGGCCAGGGAGGTGGTCGGGCCCAGCACGTGGGCGCAGCGCGGGTCCGGGTCGCGGGGCGGGGGGCGGCCACAGTCCAGGGATCCCTTTCCCTGGACCAGATTTTCGCGGGAAGCCGATTCTCTTCTTTCTCTTGGAGTGAGCAAACAGGACCGTCCTCTTCTCCGGAAAGTTTCTCGCCCCTACCCCTGCGTCGCCACCTTCAGCATCCTCTGAGCCATGTGGTTGTCTCCCACAACTACCCCTATCAAGTCCAGGAGGTCTGTGGGCTGGCTTTGCTGGAGGTGACAGGCTTTGCTGGGTCCATCTGTGTGCAAGAGTCGCAAGGGCGCCAATCTGAGCCCAGAGTTGGGGGTTGCTAGCTGCAGAGCAGGGTGGCCGTGCCCAGGACATCAGGTCCGCGTTGTGGAGATCTTTGGGCCTAGGCCACTGTGCCTCAGAGCTGCCTGGGTGGGCATTGGGGAAGGATGGGCTTGAGGTGAGGGTGGGGTACAGCTGGGGACAGAACCCCTGGGGTTAGCTGTCTGCTATGGGTGCCCCTCTGGGGCCACTGCTGGCAGGGTCCTCCTGGCCAGCCCAGAGCTGCCAACATGTCTGCCAGCACTGCCCCCTCCATTCCCAGTCTTGGGAGCAGGCTCCCTCTCGGCCGTCTGAGGCCTGATGTACTGCCACTGCTTCCTGTTTCACAGAGAGGGGCCTGAGGGCCCGGCTTAGGGGACTCTTGCTGGAGGCTGGGGTTGTGGACAGTGTTCAGGTGCTCAGCTGTGCCTGTTTGACCTCATGGCCACCCACAGGCTGGCACCCCCACTGGCTTCTGGGGGAGGCCTGTACCTCTCACGACCTGAGGGAGGCACAGTGTGGAAGCCAAGTTCAGGCAGACGTATTCTTTGTGGAACCTTGGGAACAGGCCTGGTATGGGCTAAGTTGTCACAAAAGCCACAGACCAATGTCGCTGTCTTCTGAGCTGTGCTCTGCCCCCCGCCTCCTCCAGGCTCTGATCCTGGCATGTGCCAGGGAGATTTTAAATGAGTTGATATGTGTTACATGCTCTGAAAGGTGCCTGCACAGGGGGAGAGGTATGTGTTTGCTGTTCATAGTGTTTCTCTACCCTCTTAGTCTATGAAGCTACCCCACAATTCTAGAGAGGGTCCCTGGGAGGCACCAGCTGTTTAGGGCCTAGAAGTTAACTTCCAGGGCTTTTTCTCTTCTCTGGAAGCTGGTCTGGGAATAACCCCTGCTGAGCTGAGGTGGCCCAGGTCCCTCTGACCTGTTCCCTGTTCTGCTCCTGTCTCAACCAAGATCAGCGCACTGAGTGGGAGATCTTAGGCTGTCCAAGGGGCCCTAGGTCCATCAAGTGGTTGAGGGAGAGCCAGGAGTTGGGGCCAGCCCCCCAGAGTCCAGGTTGACAGGGATTAGCTGGGGAGTGTAGATGGAAGGAAAGTTAGGAAAGTAGAGTGAGAGTCGCCTGCGTGGACTGTGGGCTGAGAGACATCTGCTGCTTGGAGTGGGTTGCTGCTCACAACAGGTCCCCCTTCCCTGTGAGTGGAGGCCCAGGCCAAAGAAGCCCGCAGTGTCTTCTGGGCTGTCTTCCCTTCCCTCCCTCACCCCCTTCCCTACCCAAAGCAGTGACTCACTCCCCACTCCTCAGAAACAGAGTTCCTCGGCCCCTCCACGCTCCCAGCCCTTTTAGACTCTTAGGATCCAGTTTTCCGTGTGGAACCGAGAATCTCCTCCTTTCTGGAATTGTAACAAATCCTGGAAAGGACTCCCCTTCACCAGCAGGAGCAAAGAGGCCAGACCCCCTTTCTCTGCTCCAGCTTAACCTGTGGTTATTCTGTAGTTAACCCACACTGGCCTAGCATCTGTCCTGCACTGGGTGCCAACCCAGGCCCCATCTGGGCACATTCTCTGAGAGGCTATCCCGGTGGAGTATTGTATTCTTCCTTTTAGAGTGGCTCAAAGGCTTGCACCCTCTGCAGTGAGGCAGAGGATCACTCTACCTAGGAATAGTATAAAATGGTTCCAGCCCACAGGGGATGGGGAGCTGCAGCCTCCTGGAAGGGACTCTGCAGATCAGTGTCCCAGAGTCTGAGGGCCAGGCCTGCAGATTGTGACCAAGGCAATCACCAGCACCCAGCTGAGCGCCCTGCAAGATGGACCCTGGTGCGGTGGAGAGGCAAGTCAGGTGGTGAGGGGTGGGGCACTGGAAAGATTACAGGACCGCTCCCTCCCTCCCAGCCTCCCAGCTCCTCGGCTGACCTGTGGATACGCATTCATTCTCTCACCCTCAGGGGCCTCCTTCCTTCTCAAGACTCAGGGCCTCAACCTGAAGCTTTTGGTTCAGGAAATGACTAGGGCAGGTGGGTTTGGGTGGCTGTAGTCATTAGTTGCCTTCTCTCCTTTGTCACCCACTTCCCAGAGGTGCCCAGCACTTCTGCGTGAGTGTTCTGAGTGCCCCCAATGGGCTGCTGGCCGCCCTTGGCTTCAGAATCACCCCTGACCCCTACACATTCTGTGTGTGTGTGTGTGAGTATGAGTGACACTCTTGATTCTACAGATGGAGGAAGTGGACAAATGAAGCTACAAGTGGGAGAGCAGCAGTATGTGCTGCCTGGGCTCCAGCCAGGTGCCACAAGGTTCAGGTTGGTGCTCTCTAGCCCAGTGGGGACTGAGCTCTACTCAGGGGCCACCCTGGGTCTGTTGCTTTTCAGAGTAGGGAAGGGCCATCAGTGTCCAGAGCTGCAGGTATTCTTTTAGTCTCAGCCCCTTGCCTGGGACCTGGAGACCGCCAGCCAGGTCACTGCCCTATGCTGCCCACCCCACCCCCACAAAGCTGTGCTGCAGAAAAATGATGAGATTGCTCTAGAATCTGAAGCCCTGGCTTCTGCCCCAGCCCAGCAGGGAGGAGGGCGCTGCTGCTAGGGCTGAGGTGAGGGGTGGGCCTGGGAGGCCCTCAGTGTCCACCTGGGCCTGGAGTGTGACGAAGACCTGGCTGCAGAGGCCCAGAAGCAGCTGTAGTTGTAGGATCGTCCCTTCCTCCTGCCTGCAGCTTTACTCCAAAGCCGGTGGGTCAGGGGCTCCAGGATCTTGCTTTCCTGCAGAGGACAGTGTGGCTAGAAGAGGACAGGGACCCGTTTGCGGAGTGCTGGGCCAGCACACTCTTCTTTCTGCCTTGGATCCAAACCCTCCTCCAGGGGCTGCAATGCTGGTGCCTTGTGCAGTCTGCCCTCTGTCCGCTGCCCATTGCAGCCTCTGTGAACAACTGTCCTTATGATCAAAAGGGACTTGGCAAATAACAAGGGTAGTTACCATTTATCAATCAAGGGCTTATCAAAAGCCTGGCCCAATAAACTTAAAAAGAGAAAAAGATGTGCTGTAAGCTTCTTGACATCACTTCACGTCAGCCTGCACAGCCCTTTCATTAAGCCCACTTAAAAATGAAGGCGTGGAGGCTTGGAAAGGTTAAACCACTTGGCCAAGGTCACACAGCTCGTAAGCAGCTGAGCTAGGCCTGTTTCCAAAACCTGCACTTTTCAGCCTAGTTATCCGGTGTTCCCAAGCTCATCTTACCTGTTGTGATGGATGAAAAGGCTTGGGGTGTGAGGGGTTTGCTCAAGGCTGCAGTGTGCCGGTGACGAAGGGGGCACACAGACGCCCTGATTCCCAGCCCAGAGCTCCAGGGGGCACGCAGATGCCCTGATTCCCAGCCCAGAGCTCCAGGGGGCACGCAGATGCCCTGTTTCCCAGCCCAGAGCTCCATGTCCTGCCCTCAACCCCACTTCTCGCCCTGCCCATCTTGGCACTCCGTCCCCTGCCCCCTGAGTCCAGGCTCTGGGGTTGTGAACCCTCCTGCAGTGGGCAGGCCAAGGCTCCCCGCTTCTCCCCTCCCCACTCCCACTCCCACTCTGCCGGGGCCCCTCCCAGCCCCCACCTCTCTTGCTTTCCCGCTGGTAATTGCTTCCATCTGGCCCTCCTGCCGGCTCCTATTCCTTTGGAAATGCGGCTCCCCCGGCTGCCTGCCGCCCACATGGCTGCACGGCCTCACTCGGGACACGTGGGGAAGGGGAGGGGCCCTCTGGGATCTGAGCATGGGAACCGGGTCAAGGTGCCTGCTCCTGGTGTCCGGCATCCCCAGATTCCTGCCAGGTGGGAGCACCTTTGCTCCCATGCCCCGTCCTTGCCAGGTTCAAGGGCCAGAGGCTCCTCAAAGCCTGCCTCTCATCCGAGGCAGTGGGGAGCTTTCCTCCCCCACCCCCGCCGGCACAGCACCCACGGCCTGATCCGCCCCTCAGAGGTTGCTCAGGTCAGGAGGGAGGCCTGTTGGAAGGGACAGCAGGGCATGCCCTGGGAACCCACCGCCAAGGGTCATGGGAGGGAAGTGAAGCAGGGCACTCACGGTGGCCGAGGCCGAGGGACCCACCCAGAGCTCTGCACAGGTGAGAATGGAGCCCTTTGGTCCCAAGCGATAGACTCCAAACCAGCAGAATTAGAGACAAAGCTTCAGGTTTTGTCCTGATACAAAATAAAGCTCGCACATGCCAACAGCGTGTTCAATGCTCTGTTGACCCCCTTGTCTCCCACTTTGCCTGGGCTGGGTGGGGAGGGACCAGCATGGTCCTCAGTGTGGCCATCTGGAGATTTTAGTAGCGTGCCTCTGCCTGTGGAGGGGCCAAGTTCCCTGTCATGGAAGATGTTCAGGCATAGACTGGCGACCTTGACAGGGCTGGTCCAGAGGAGATGCAGGCGGCCGGGTCCCCTTTGTGGTATGGAATAGGTGGGGAACTTCTAAGGCATGTTCCTCTCTGAGACTGTAGGGTTTTAGTGTAAGCTCCAGGAACCTGTCTCGCTTGTCTCTGTCTTCCTCATGCCTGGACTGATGTCTAGCAAATAATAAGTGCTCAGTAAATATTGAGTGAATGGCAGATTAGCTCGGCTCTTCTGACTTTGTCTTCACTCTATCCCTCCTTTGCTTCCTCTTTTTCTTGGGACAAAGGGAGGAGAGCTTCCTTTTTGACAGGTGAGCTGTTTGTCAGAGGAGGGCCTGCCCCAGCAGCCTGCTGCCCCCACCCCCCGACCCCGGGGTCTCTTCAGACACCGGAGAGGCAGGCAGGAGCCCCAGGCGGGGAGGGGCATGCCTCTGAGGAGGGCGTCCCCTCCATTGTCAGCTGGTCGCGGCCCTGCTTCTGCCAGCCAGGCCTCCTCAGCCCAGTGCTTGGGTCCTTGCACAGACTGGCTCTAACCTCACCCCCTGGCCCTAACTTCTTATTCGGGGCCAAGAAAGGCACCCCTGGGGGTGGAACCCTCTCTCAGGTGTTATCTCAGCAGTGAGGGCTCAAGAGGAGGGCCTCGCCCCTATTCTTGCTTCAACCCAAACACCTCCACTTTTATTCCTTCTCCATGTTGGGTTTCCACATAAAATTTCATTTGAAACCCATGGGACAGAGGGTTTCTTGGCTTTAAAAATTTTTATTTGAAAACCTCCATTTGGCTCCAGTAGAGACGGTTAGTTTCCCAGTAGCATGCCACATGTGTTCTCACCTCCTCGCCTTTGTGCCCACTGTCCCCCCCATGTGGCTTGGGCACCGTGGGTAGTCAATCACCTTCCTAAATTGCAAGTGTCCTTCAGCATCCAACTCGAGCCTCTGTTGCCTGAAGCCTCCCTGAGCAACCGGCACAGTTGCTTCCTCCTGCACTCCACTCCTCTCAGGTCCCACTCAGGACCTGTGCCGGCGGAGCCCAGAGTGGACCGCAGAGGCGTGCAAGCTGGACCAAAGACAGGTGGGGGGCAGTGCTCCGGCCGGGGGTGGGGCATGATTTGTCTCCTGTTGACAGATTGTATCTTTTTCTCGGCTGCACAGCCTTTCTATAACACGGGGTCCTCGTTTCCTCCTCTGAGAAGCTTAACACTTTTGAACGAGAGCATTTCCTGTAACTTCCCAGTGCCTGGACCCAGTACTTTCTCAGTGCTGGCTGGTGTGTTTTCTGTGATTGGGGGAGCAGACGGGGGCGGGGGTTGGCCAGAGACTGCAGAGTGTCTACCTTCTGGTCCATGCAAGAGGGGCAGGTGGGGCAGGAGCCACTCCTGTTGCCATCCTTTCTCTGCTTCCAGCAATGTGACTTCAGGCAGGTCTCAGATTCGGTTCTCCAGCAGCACGTCTGTTAATCAGGCCAATAGTATCTGCCCACCTCACAGGACTGTGATGACAAGCGAGATCAACATTTGCAAGCTGAAGAGGCCTCAGAGGTTGGCTGATAGCAGACTGTTGGGCAGGCGGGTCCAGCGACTGTCTTACACACCTTGTATCACCAGCACCTGGCACCATGCGGGCACACAGCAGCTGCTTGGGAACGATTTCTTTTTGCAAATGAGGGAGCTGAGGCTCAGAAACTAACTTGCTGTTCAAGATCACAGAACCTCTCTCCCCACCGGGCAGGGGACAGCCTGAGGAGAGACCCACCATCCCACCCCCTACCCCATTGCATTCCTTTCTCTGAGGTCCTGGTGTCATTCAGCCTGTCTGTTCACTCTCCAGGCCCCAAAGATCTGGGATTGTTGAGGCTGAAACCCCTGGGACATGGCTGACACAGGACTGGGTGGGCTCCGATGAGTGCTCTGCTGGTGCCCACCACTGCCCTGCTTCCCCTGGACTGGCTCCATCCACGGGAGGGGGGGGGGTGTGCTCACGAAGCTGGGGAGCTGTCCCCACAGTGGGGTGGGCCCTTCTCTCCACACGCACTGCCCCCTTCTCCTCCGGTCCCCTCTGTGGTCCTTGTCCTCCTTTTTTTCTTTTTTCCCATCCTTTTCTCCCTTCCTTGCCTTTTCCTCCTTCGGATTTCTCTCACCTCCTTTTTCACTTGTCCCTCTTCTCTCATGTCTGCCTCATCTTCTTTCTCTTCTTTCCCTTCTTGTCCCTCTGCCCCGACCCCACCCAGGCCTCAGCATCTATGTTGTCCTGACAGTGACAGCTGGATGTCAGGGTGGGTGGGACGGGTGCCCTGCAGGTCTGTGCGGGTTTGGGAGCTCCTCCTATTATTGGCAGCTTTGGCATTTTTGAGCAAAATGACTCTCCCAGTGGTTGGGTTTGATGAAGGCACAGTGCCTGCCTGCCTGAGGTACGGACTGCTTTGACCCTTTTTTTTTTCTTTTGAGGAAGATTCGCTCTGAGCTAACATCCACTGCCAATCCTCCTCTTTTTTGCTGAGGAAGACTGGTCCTGAGCTAACATCTGTGCCCATTTTCCTTTACTTTATATGTGAGATGCCTACCACAGCATGGCTTTGCCAGGTGGTGCTGTGTCTGCACCTGGGATCCGAATCAGCGAATCCTGGGCCGCAGAAGCGGAACGTGTGAACTTAACCGCTGCACCACTCGGCCAGCCCCTCTGCTTTGACCTTAAGCTCAGCTCCCTGAGCCCTCATCCCTTCCTTGGACATCTTCCTGGGCAGGAAGGCGGGATCTTGTCTCCAAAGAAGAGCTGGTTGGTGGAGCCTCTGTGGCCTCTGACCTCTGCCCTCCTCCCTCTTCTCTCTAGACCTCGAGCTCTTTGCCCCAGGGTTACCCGCTGGGATGGAGGAGGCTGGCCAGAGCAGGGAAGAGATTTCTGCTCAGACACCTTCCAGGTGAGCAGACACAGCATGCTTCCCTTGGGCTGACTCGTGTGTGTGTGTGCGTGCGTGTGCATGCATGCCGTAAGTTTGCGGATGAGTATGTACACGGGTTGTGTGTGAGAAAGAACAGGCGCATGCATCCATGTGTGGACAAGCACGTGGGGTGCACTTGTGTGGGTCTGCACCCCCCTTCCCCAGGCCTGTCACTGTGCGGCCAGCTCGTAGCCCAGAGCTCTCCTCTATGGTTTTTGTGACCCTGGCTTTGCAATGTGGCTTTGTTCTGTCTTGGGGATCAGCTGGTCCCCTGCTGTGGTCCCACGCAGTGGTGACTGATCCCTGGCCACCCATTCAGCTGCCTGGGGGCCCTGGGGCCAGTGTTTGCCCCCCACCTCCCCAAATGGAGCCATGTGGGGGCTTCCTGCTCGGAGTCTCAACCCTGCCAAGGCGGAGGGAATGGGGAACAGCTGCGTTGGCCGATTCCGGCTCTGATTCCGGCTCCGTATGGATTTGGTTTGACAACAAAGCTCCCTCTGTGTGTTCTCAGGCCCCTTACATAAGCCAGGGGGTGGAGGAAGGGGGTGGGGAGACAGGCAGGAGGAGGTGGAGATGGGGACAAGGAGATACAAGATGGGATGGCTGGAAAGAGGACAGAGACCAGGAGGAGAGGAGAGCGAGAGAGGGAGACCACTGAGAAAACCAGAGAGCAGGAAGAGGGAGGAGAAAAAAATGTGTGTCTTGACCCTCCAAGTCTGCTTCCTGCCTGGGATTGGGAAGGAGATGATCTCCAGGCCTTCTGACCTTTACCCTGTTGGGTCCTTGTCTTCCTCTCCTTGAGCCCCACCTGCCAGCCCTGGACCTGCTGGGGAGGGGGCTGCAGGACCTGTCTTGGAGGGAGGCTGTCCTTAACCCCAGCCTGTAACTGGACACATTCCATAAAGATGGGAATCGTTCTCCTTCCTTGTACTTGGACTTTTCTGCACTCCTCCCAGGCCACAGGCCTGGCTCCAGAAGCCCCTCTGGCCACCCTGTTTGTAGTGCTGCTGAGCAGTGGCCTAAGGCAGCCTTTCCCTGGACCCTGTCAGGCTGCCCCCAAGACCCCCCAGCTCATTCACCCAAGCTCTGGGCCAGGACCTCCCCCAGTGCCAGACCCTCAGCCCACCCCCTTCAGAGGCCCTGTGGCCCTGGTCCCTGCACTCCCCCTCGCTCAGTAATCAGACATTCTCTTCTCACCATCACTGTCCCTGCAGCTGTCCAAATAGAGTGAGAAGAAAATGTTCTCTTTCCGGAACAGCTGGACTGACAGGCCGGGAAGGCCAGGTGAGCTGGCCAGGCTTGGGTGTGTTCTTGGGGGCGGGAGGTACCCTGTCCCAGGGCCCTGATCTTGTCAGCTCCTAGGCCAGGAGGGTCGGTGGGCCTCCGACCTCTCCCACCTTCAGATGGGCCAGGGCCTCTGTGAAGGCTTGGTCTACTGGGATTCCTCAGGGTCTGCATCTTCTCTGTGCCTCAGTTTCTCTGAGACATTTTCTGGCACCAGGCATCCATGGTAGAGCCCCTGGTAGTGGCAGTGCTTGCACCCAGGCTGCAGGGGATTAGAGGGCTGTGGTCTTCCAACTTGAGAACGAGGATGGCTCTTAAAAGGGCAGGGAGGAGGAGCTTCTCCAGGTTTTCCTGGGCATGAGTGACAGAGAACCCAGGGTTCTGGCACTTGGCTTGACCCCTGCCATTGCCCTCAGTTAGGTTTAGGATGTCTGCCCTGGGGATATCCTCTAGGACCCTGGCCAGCAGCTCTGTGGAATGGTGGTGTGGGCAAGGCCCAGACCTGCTGAACCAGCCATAAACCCCGGAAACCTTGGTCCCCAGGCCCAGGTCCTCAGGCCTTGAGTGGCCTGGGTCTTGCTTCCCTCCACCTCCCCGGGTCTGGGTGCCGGTCTGATCCTGAAATTGCTAATGCCCTGGGGCTTGAGCCCAGAAGGTCTGAGCCAGTGGGTGTGGCAGCTGTGGGAGGGCCTAGAAGTTGCCAGGATTTGTGTGCTGGTGGGACTGGAGGACAGTCCCTCTCACCCAGATCAAGATTAGGTGCAGGTGCAGAGAGGCCGGGACGGGCCAGAAAGATGGTGAGTGAGCACTGTGAGGGCGCAGGGCGGGAGTGCCCCAACTCGGGTTGCGGCCACACGCTGCCCCAGGACACTCCCCTGCCCCTCTGGGGACACCCCAGTGAGGCTGTGTATCTTCCTCCCATTTGCTTTCCCGCAGGCCCCCTCCCCCGCAACCTACCTCCCCAAATACCTCTGAGCAGGGCAGGAGCGGGGCTCTCTTCCTGGGAGCTGGGAGCCCAGGGCTCCCCTTTACCTAACTTTTGGAGGTGAAGAAATCCCCAGAGGGCTGGCTTAGCCACTCCCCGCTCCTCTTGACGCTCCAGGCTCCCTGGCCCATAGCTCCAGGGACCTGCAACCTGACAAACAAACTCTGAAGGAAGCTGGTAGACCAGAGGGCAGGCAGAGCAGCAGCAGCAGCTGAGCAGTGCCCTGCACCCAGAGGGATGGGGGATGAGAGCGCCCCGGCAGAGGGGGCCCAGCAGGCCCCAGAAGCTGTATGTTGGCCCGTGGGGCGGGGGTGGGGGGGGGCAGGGAAGGAGGAGGAGCGAGGGGTGTGTGCGTGTGTGGGTGTGTGCGTAGGGGTCACCACGTTCCTGTGTGCTTCCAGCTTTGCTGTGGGATGTATTCGTGCCTGTGTTTGAGCAGGGATCCATGTGTTGTGTACAGAGATGCGTTTGTAGGGTTTTGACACAGGAGGGTCTGAGTGGGCCAGAGCAGGATTGGCCTGAGACAGGGCTCAGAGTACTTTCCTGGTGCTTCCTGGCTCTGGGGTGTGGATGGGGCTGTGGGGGCTCAGACACGTTTCCTCCACATTTTGCCTGTGGGGGCTGGGTGAGCCTTGGGGCAGAGGTGGCCCTGGGTCATCTCTGGTAACCTGAACATCAGCCAGCCGTCCAGCCAGCATTCCCACCTGCTCTGCCCTGCAGAGGGACCGTTGCTCAGCTTGGAGGGTCTCACCTTCCCCAGCAGTACCTAGGTTGCTAGCCACTCTTCCCCTTCTCTCATCTTAACCTTTACTTGGAGGAGAGTTGTAAATCACTGGAAAATCTTACTGATGGGAAACACCCTCAGAAGGGCCTCTCTCACCAGCTTCTCTGTTCCCAGGGGACAGGCTGATGTAGGAAATAGAGGTCTTGATTTTCTTTCTCTTCTAGAGACCCAACCCTGGATGCCACACTGCCCTCCCCACCACCAGCAGGCACAGCACTCCTCTTTTTCCCTAATCCTACCCTTAGCTCCTCTAACCCTATTGGGCCCCTAAGAGGAATTCGAGAATCAACCCTCCCCTGCTGACACAACCTCTGGAACCTCCTTGTTCCAGAACCAGCGTTGCAGGTCAGTTTGCATCGCAGTGCTGACCAGAGGTTCTGGTGAGGGAAGGAGGGAGGTTGAAGTCCTGCAGAAGTGAGGGTCCCTATTGGAACTAGGGGCCAGCGGGGAGGGGTTTCTGTGCCTGAGTCCCTGCTGCTCCCAGATGCTCCAAAGCATAGCCATGCTGATAAGCTGCCATTCATGGGCCAGAGCTGGAATTTTGTCCTCCTCTGTAGGCATTCCAGGACTGAACCGTGCCCTGCACTGTCCCTGCTCGGGGACTTTGGGAGTACCTGCTCTGGAGAGGGGACATTAACTAGCAGAGGGAACATCACTCTGGAAATAAGGCACCGCTCAAGTGAAGCGGGTACTTCCTCTGGGCTGCTGTGGAGAGGGCACATCTCTGCCCCGGCTGCGGGTCTGCCGCCCAGCCCCACTGGGATGGCTGTCAGCTGGAACTGATGAAGCGCCGGGGCACCTTCTCGGGGAGATGCTGCACCCGGAAAGAGAGAGAGCAGCTTCTTCAGTGAGGCCGCCTCCCTCGCCCCCACCCTGTGCTCCTCCCCACCCCAGCGGTGCACCCTGAGTCCGGCCAGGATATGGGATCCACATTTAGTGCAGGGGGGTGGCAGTGCCCCTCCCTCTCTCCCTGGGCAGCTGTGTGTGACGCGTGTAGAGTGTATAGCAGACCCAGCGGCCAGGAGGAGAGGTGAGTGTGGTTGTGATTGTGGTAGCTGGTAGGAGCTGGGGTTGCGGACCCCTCTCTTTGCTGGGATGGGGCAGACCCTGAGCAGAGAGGGGCTGCCACGCGCTGGGGGACACCTAGACCAGGAGTCACCTTCAGCTCCCGGTGGCCGAGTGCTTGCCCTGGGCCCGGCACGGACTAAGGCTGTGGGCTTTCAGTCCTGGGATGTGTTTCGAGGCTCTCATGCCTCCCAGAACATGCTCTTGCCTCCTGCATCTCACAGATGAGGAATCTGAGGCTCTGAGAGATGTAGGACCTTGTCAGGGTTACTGGGCCCATGACCAGAGAGTCCAGATGGACCCCAGACAGCCTGCCCCAAGTCAGTGGGTGCTATGAGTGTAGGGGTTCTGAGCGGTTCAGGCTGCTTGAATTTTTTATTCCTGGCTCTGCCACTTTCCAGCTGTCTGACCTTGGGGCTCTTAATTTAATCTCTCTGTGCCTCAGTTTCCTCATCTGTAAATCAGAATAAAAGAGGACTACCACATAGTGTTTTACAAATTCAATGGGATTATGCACAAAACCGCAGAACAGCCCCAGGGATCTCTTAGAGATGAATCCTGAGTATCACTCCTCTGTTAATACCCTCCAAAGACTTCTCATGGGAGCTTGAATAAAGGCCAAGCTCCCGGGGTGGCCTGTGATGTCCTGCACCACCTGGCCCACTTGGCCTCCCTGGCACCACCGTCGGCCCTTCCTTGCTGTCTCCAGTTACTTTGGGCTTGTTTTTGTTCCTTACATCTAACAAGCCTCAGGGTCTTTGTTCTTTTCTCAATCTGGAACCTTCTGCCCATCTGCCCTGCCTTCCCCCATCTTTGGCCGCTTTTCATTTAGGTCTGAGGTCAGGAGTCAGCTCCTGGGAGACCTGCTGACTCACCGGCCCCAAGGAGCTGCCCCATGTGTCCTGGCTCTTCAGCCCTGTTTGGTTGGCCTCACAGTATGTGTCATCACCGCAGTATCTTATTCATTTATTTATCTATCACATATTGCTCCCCACCTACTCCACACCCCGGGAGCACAGCGCTGTTACCTTGTTTACTGCTGCAGTGAGGTGCTTGAGGCGGTACCCTGAACGCGGGGGGCCTGCAGTCCATCGGTTCCTGTCTCTGCTGTCCTGCCCAGCCTCACCATGTCCCCAGAGGCCTTGGGACAGGGCTCTTCTTCCTGACAAGCCCTTCTCAGGAGGAAGCAGGGGAGGAGGGAGGTTGGCTCTCCTGGGCCCACACAGGGTTAGTCCTCGGGGTGGCCTCTCTTAGAGTGTTGCCCAGCTGCCCTAGATTTAGGAAGTGGGTTCCCATGGGCCAAAGAGGGTGGGAGTCAGTTCCACAGAAACCACACCTGCCAGTAAAGAGGTATTCTTGTGAGGTCAGAGGAAATGATACACAGAAAAAGAAATTCAGATGGGCTGACTGTGCCAGCTTCCCCAGGGCTGCTTCTGGCAACCCCCCATCTGTGCACACCCAGATCTTTGCACTGGGCTCTTTTAAACTTGGTGAGGAGAGGAGGCTTAAACTGCTCTTTGCTAAGTGATGTTGCTGCTAGCCCATACAGAGCTTCTGTGCAATTGGACACAGCCCTGCGCCAGGGTGAATGGTTTGAAGCAGAAGGAGAGTGGAATTTCAGCCCCCGTTCACCCTTAGGCCTGGCTGTGCACGCCCAGTGTGCATAACTGTGCCCTGTGGCCCTGCCCCTGCCAGTCCCTATCCATGGAGTGGGACATAACGAGGGACCAGAGGGCCTGTGTCCACTGGATCTTTGAGAGGGGCAGGTGGTGTGTCCACTTCTCCATGATAATGATCCTGAGAGCTGCTCCTCCTTGGCGTATTCACCACCCCAGGACTAGGCAGTGCCTGGTTTTTATCCCCGTTTGACGCGGCAGAAAACCTGAGACCTGGAGAGGGACTTGTCCAACACTCACACTGCTAGTGAGCAGTGCGTCGGGAATTCAGGTCCAGGTGTGAGACTCCAGAGTTTATATTCCTTGTTTTTAGTCTTTTTTTCTTTTAGCTGAAAGTACATCACAGTCACCAGTTTAAAAAAGTTCAACATACAAAAGGGTATTTGATAAAAAAGAAAGTCTTTCTCCCATTCTAGACCCCGTCCCCAGGGCTGTCCTCTTGAGAGGTAGCCACCTTAGTTTCTTCTGTATCCTTCCAAGTACTCTGTTG